GCCTAGACACGTGATCTCAAGGCTCTGAGGGAGAAGAGACAGTCCACGAAGGCCCGCAGGCACAGGGAGTCTGTAATTGAGGGCTTTCATAATGGAAGGGGACAGCTCCTCAGATGCCTGGGGTATCCTGCCCTGATGAACAACTCCTCTGAAAGTCAAATCTTGTCCCCAGACTCTCAAGGTGGGCCCCATGGAGGCTGTGAGACTAGAAGGGAGAGCAAGCTCTCAAGAATAAAAACCCCAGGACTTCCCTGGTGGTGGTCCAGCGGTTAAGAATCCACCTTGCAATGCAGGGGATGTGAGTTTGATTCCTGGTCGGGGAACTAAGATCCCACATGCCTCGGGGCAACTAAGGCCTGGAGCCACAACTGCTGATCCCACGTACCGCAACTAGAGGGTCCGTGTGCCGGAATGATGCAGTGAGGATCCAGAGTGATGCAACCAAGACCGAATGCAGTCAAATAAATAAATATAAAAACATGAAAACCCCACAAGGCCTTGGCAACTTTCTTATCTGTAAAGAGATGGTTCTTTCCAGCCTCCTGTGCTGAAGGGGATGCGTGGTTGCTTGCTCTTGGTGAGGACAGAATTCTTGCCACCTACCCATTCGTCTAGCTGGAGGTGGAGGCAGGTGGCCAAGGAGGATCTCATTTGAAGGTTTTCTCCAGGCCAGTGATTCTGAAATTTCAGCTTTCATGAGAACCATCCGAAGAGCTTGTTAAAATACAGGTTTCCGGGCCACCCCTCAGGGTCTCCAATTTAGAAGGGCTAGATTGGGTCTCAGAATCTGCATTTTGACAAAAGCTCCAGGAGATGCTGATGTTTCTGGTCCAGAGAGATCCACTGGCCCCAGACATTCTCTTCCTGGGGACCCCCATCTCAGGCTGGGCAGTGGTGTGAGTTCAGGTGAGAAGCCTGGAGCAACATATTCCATCACAACAACAACAGCAACTGCTCTGTACCAGGGACTGTGCTGAGGACTGCATATTCATTCTCATCTCATCCTCACGCCAAGCCCACTCAGTGGGCTTCACTAGTACTAACTCCACTTTCCAATGAGAAAACAGGAGGCTCAGAGAGGGAACACAGGCTTTAGAATCAGATAGATCTGGGGTCTGATTTCAGTTCTGCCACTGAACCATAGTCTGAGCTCTTGAGCAAGTGGCTTACCTTCCTGAGCCTCTAATTCACCAGTAAATGGCGATCAAAAAACCTGATTCCTGGGGTATTATGAGGATGAGGGGCAGTGGGGATTACAAGGGCACCTGCACACAGTCAATGCATAAGAAAGGTACATCCCCTTTCCCGAAAGCCTCATCCTTTTCTGTCTCCCCAGATTCATCTTCCTGCCTCTCCCTATATTCTGAGATACCTTACCTGAAGTAACACTGGACTACTATCACTTCCTAAACAGGGTCTACCTGGTCATGCTCCCAGGGCTTTGGAAAGGCTGTTTCCTTTGTGTGGAAGTGCTTTTCTCACTCTAGTGCTCCAGAGAAACTCCTATTCATCCTTCAAAACCCATCTTAGAAATCCCCTCCTTTGGTCACTTTCCTTGTAATATTGTCCTCTTCCTGCCCTTGGGCAGAAAAAACATCTAGGATTGCAGCATCTTCTTTGAAGAAAGAGCTTAAAGTGTTACTTTCATTCCTTCCTTCCTCTTTCACTTATGCTCCCCCAACATTTTATATGGAGTATAATTTGGAATACAAATTGCACCCTTACAGGGATCAGACAACTACCACCACCAGCAGCAAGCATCACCATCATCAACACTTAGTGTATTCCATGCACCTGGCACTGTTGTAAGAGGTTGAGGTTTGTTGATTCATTTGATGCTGAAAATAGTGTTTGAGGCAAGTGCTACTTATTATCCCTCTTCTTTTCCATATGAGGAAATCGAATTACAGAAGTGCTAAACTGGACTTCCCTGGTGGCAGTGGATAGGAATCCGATTGCCAATACAGGGGACATGGGTTTGATCCCTGGTCCAGGAAGATGCCACATGCTGCGGAGGAGCTGAGCTTGTGCGTCACAACTACTGAGCCTGAGCTCTAGAGCCCGTGAGCAGCAACCAGTGAGCCCTTGGGCTGCAACTACTGAAGCCCAAGCTTCTACTGAAGAGCCTGTGCTCCACAATAAGAGCGACCATTGCAAGAAGCCCATGCAAAGCAACTCGAGAGCAGCCCCGTGCTCTCTGCAACTAGAGAAGGTCTGCACAGCAACAAAGATCCAGCACAGCCTAAAATAAATAAATAGAGCAGTGCACACATGTGAAAAAAAATATAAATTTTTTAAAAAGATCAAAAAATTGTCCCCCCAAAAGTGCTAGATAATTTGCTTTGACCACATAACTAATCCATGCCAGAGCTGGGATGCAGAAGCTGGCTACGGAGTCCGAGTTACTAACTTTTATAGAACGCTGCTCTTTATGAATAAGGGGTGGGCCAGCTGGGGACTGTGCCACCCTTGAGGGTGCCTGCCCCATGCCGGAGGGGGGAGGGCAGCCGAAAGTTAGGGCTGGAGTCATCAGCTTTTCTGATCCTCTCTTCTCAGGAGGATCCCCAAATCCTTATCTCCCACCTTTTAAAATCTTGGGAGTAAGTTAGAATTTCACAAGGAACATGGGCCTCACAAAAGCTGCGCACAGGTCTGGTTTGCAGGGACTGTAGCTCAGTTTGTTTCTGTATCTTAGCTCAGGACCAGGCGCACAGGAGGTCCTTTGTAGGTGTCATGACACTTCCGGACCCCACTGTGAGCTGGGCGTGGCTCCCATAAGCTGAGGTCTCACTCTCCGTCCCACTCAGCGCTGGGATTCTCTGCCCTGCCCTGGGATGTGGATGAGATCCCAAAGGGTGGCTCTGAGTGTCACCCCCACCCCGGGGCCATCGCTGGGTCTTCTCTGTCCAAAAATAAGACTTCCTGCTTTCCGAGTGCTGACAACGTGCTGAGTGCTTGGTTTTGTCATCCCACTGACCCACTCAACAGTTCTGGGAGGCTGCCCTTGTCATCACCCCATGTTACAGATGTGAAACTGTGGCTCAGACACTGGAAGGGAATTATTGCTCAAGATAGAAGAGGTGGTGCTGGGACTGTAATGCAAACAGCTCAGATTCCAGCTTTCCCCAGCCAGCTATCATCAGACTTTCCACCAAACTTTTGACAGTCAAGGCCCACAGTCTAGGCTAAGGACACTCCCACAGCACAGCCTGGACCTGGAAAGTCTGTGGGGCACAAGGAGGACCTTAGACACTCTAGTCTGTCAGACATGGTCTCTAAGTCCTTCCATATCCTACTGGACGGTGGGGACGGCATTGCGAGTATGTCTAGAGGAAACTCCTGGACATGGTCCCTTATGGGAATTCTGCCCACTGGGGCCTAGACAGTCAGGGCTTGTGGCCTGGCTCAATCCCAGGCCTTTCGGCTCAGCAGCGACCGCAGATAGGGAGTTCAGCGTTTGTCCTTGTCCACAGATAGAAGGACAGAGATGTGTATACATGCACCTGTGCATGAGTGCACATCTTGTGTATGTGTGCATGGCACGTGCGTGTGCAATGGGGGACAGGGGAACTTGTCCTCCAAATTCAGACCCTGTGAAGTTAGTATAGGACACAGAACAAAGAAATCTTATTTCACCCAGAAATGTCAATTTATAGAAGAGGTTGAAATATAAAACAGTCACCTAATTTTACAACTTAAATACTCAGCAGTAGGCATATCCATGGGCTTTCCTGTGGCTCACATGGTAAAGAATCCGCCTGCAATGCAGGAGACCTGGGTTCGATCCCTAGGCTGGGAATATCCCTTGGAGAAGGGAATGGTTACCCAATCCAGTATTCTTGCTTGGAGAATTCCGTGGACAGAGGAGCCTGGAGGGCTACAGTCCGTGGGATCACAAAGAATTGGACACCACTGGGGGGTGGTGGGACACCACTATCACCTGGCATATCCATGGTGGAAAACAGGCAGCAGTTAAAATAAGTAAGCTAGCTTTATATGCAGCCACTTGGATAATTTTCAAAGCAACGATAACTGAGTGGAGAGCGGTGGCAAATTGCAGAAAGATGCTGGATGTACTGTATCATTTCTAGGAAACGTCCACCCACATTACTATGCAGCTTACATACTTTCTATGGATACACATCTATATGACCGCATGGGTGTAGGAAAGACCTAGAAGGAACACCCCAAATTATGAAGGCGGTAACCTTTGTGGGGTGGGGGTGGTGGAGGGAGGGCAGGGGTTACTGACAAACGGGATCGGATGAGTGTATATTCCTCCTGGGATCACACAGTTCAATAGGCAGGCAGGTGCGGTCACTGGTCATGCAGGGGCCACAGGGATGCTTAGGTTCAGGGAACTATTCACACAAGTCTCCATGGACTCTGAGGACTGAGCTGTCAGGGTGAATCCATTGCTTTGGCTGTTCTCTCCTCACTCCGGCAGAGATGAGCGGGTGTCTGTGTGTGTGTTGGAGGGGGCGGGTGGGTGTGGTAGGGGGAGCTGTTCTGCCCGCTGTGGATGGAGAAGCTCTGCGGCTTCCTCC